CTCTGTGAGCCGCCAACTCCCAGCGTCGTGTCTCGTCAGTAGAGGTGGAGGCTCAAGACTAGCTCACGAGGCGGGCGAACTACTCTTCCTCGCTTGACACACATGCGTGGTGGTAACATCAAGGTGGCGGTGGAAGTGGTGGCGCAACTGATTGCTCGTAGCTACGACGGTGCGCAGTCCAGAACAGTGACATGCTTAACGCCACCGGTGACAGTCGCGGTGCCGCCACCACCTCCATTACAAACGCCAACTTGCAGCACTCGGATGAAGGCATTGGGAAACTCGCACGCAAGGTGAGCGTGGCGAGTCTTGGTGGGCAGCACAGCGAGCGTCGTAGCAAGTGGCGTTGCTCTGCACCGCCTCTCCATTGAGCAGCACACCATCAACACGCATTCAACTCACTTCAGTGGCCATACGCGCAGTCGACAAGACGTTGAGGTAAAGGAGGTGAAAGAATGGATCTCACGTCTCGCCATTCTCATTGCTGGCACCAGCATTCACACACCCGCAAACCCTATTCCTCTCTTCAGGGGTCACAATGAGGCAAGTTGGTGGTGGTGGTGGTGGTGGTGGTGTTGCACTGGGATAGGAAAACTGACCATGACAAGGGCAACACGAGGGGAAGAAGGAGGCGAAGGGAAGGAGGAGAGGAAGGCGAAGGAGGAGATGAAGAAGACGACAGTGGTAGCCACTAACATGTCACCCACTGATTAGACCAGCCCAACCACTCTTACTGTTGATGCACTTCCTCGGTGGTGGAAGGCGTATCGTGAACGAGGTCCCTTGATGGCACCTGCAACAACTACCAATTAGGCCAGTGCCATGCACTTCACAATGGCAGCACCCACACAGACGTCAACTCGTGTCAATGCACACACGCAACGTCTCCCTAACCACCACCACCGCCACCACTACAACCACAACTGCAATGAAGGAGGATGTGGGCGAGGGTGGGGGTGGGGGTGAGGGTGAGGGTGAGGGTGAGAGGATGCACGCACGTACACATTTGTCCGCATTCCTACATCTGTCACTCACGCACACGTTACGCTGACGACACCCACAACCAAAGTGGATGAAGGGCTCTGGCATAGAAGGAGGGGTGATGGGAGGTGTGAGAAGGGGAGAGGCTAGGCGATGGAGGCAAGTTTAACTTCATCCTCTACACTATGTCGATGTCCACTGCTTCCACTCCGCCAACTTGCTCCGTAGTCCCCGTGAAACAACAGTGTGGGAAGGGGGATGCGGAGGAAGGAGAATGTTTGGCTGGAGGAGCAACTGCATGCGGAAGGAGGAGGAGGAGGAGGAGGAGGAGTGGAGAGGAGGTCAGCACACGCTACGTGCAAGTCACTGCGGTGGCGTTTAGTCAAAAAGCGATGATACTGGCTGCAGTCGAGCTCGCAACCCCAACAAATAGGCCAGCGAATGGGTCGCCAGATTTTGCCACATCAACATCATCAAACGCAGCAGCCGCAGCAGTGGAAGCAGTGTTGGCGGTGCACTAGTTTGAGGACATCACAACTGTCCTCCTCTGCCCACGCGCATATAAACATAGGGACATTTTTTTTTTTTGCGGTGAAGGGCAAAGAGGCCAAAGAAAACAGGATGAATCAGTGATGCTGTCAAGATAGGTTGCAGCGATGTGGAATGGAATGGAATGGGATGGAAGGTGAGAGGATGCGATGCGATGGGATGGGACGGGATGGGATGGGGTGGGATGGGGTGGGAGGTGAGGCAAGGGTAGGGGGAGGGAAGGGAAGGGAATGAAGAGGATTGGGTCGGATTGGATTGGATAGAGTAGAGAGCAGTGGTGTGGGGTGTGCGTGGATGGGACGGGATGGGATGGGAGGGGAGGAGATGGAATGAGATGTGATGGGCACGGTTGGGTGGGAGAAGCAGCAGAGGGTGTGGTTGAGTAGAGAGAGAGTGCTGCACAATCGCCTCCTCTGTCACGCCAATGGGTGGTGGTGGTGGTGGTGGTGTTGGTGTGCTCTGTGACTGGGCACTTCCCTGGTCACGATTGTTGGCGGTGGTGATGAAGCGAGTGTTTCTCCTCTCAGGTGATCGACTCCGCGGACGCCTACCTGGTGGTGTACGCGATCGACGATCGAGAGTCCTTCAAAGGCGCCCAAACCATCATCTCGGAAATATTGGGACGCTGCAAAATCGCCAGTGCCATCGTACTGGTGGGCAACAAGACCGACTTGGTTCGAGCTCGCAGCGTCTCCTACGACGGTGAGTGGCTCTCCTCATTGCTCACTGGTCACCACGCACATGTAGTTCTTCGCCCCTCCATCCCGTCATCCACCTCCACGTTCATCACCACATCCACGCATCCCCTCTTCACCCACCTCCCCTTCGCCGCAAGTACTGCCCTCCACTGCATCGCATTGGTTGTTCACAGCACAGGTCATCGCCATCGCGTGGAACTGATGCACGACATGAAGCCACCAACTCCTAACGACGGTTGCCAGTGTGCACCAAGAGAATGTTTTAGGTGAGGCAAGAATGCCCTCACCGAACATGGTCATGTCGTTGAACAGACGCCATCTCGCCTCGTAGGCTAGAACATCTGAGGAGGGTGGATGAGAAGTGGAAGGTATGTGGCATGAATAAGGCGATTCACCAGCCACACCGCAACCGCGCCACAGCCATCTATGTGGCCGTGCATCTTCACCAAAGTGATTTCCCCTCCCTCACTGCACTTCTCCTCCTCCTCCTCCGACCTCTCTGCCTTCTCCTCTCCCATCCACCTTCCACACATCCTGCAACAACATCTCGTAGTTGCACAACTCCACCGCAACTGCACCTCCTTCAATGTCGCTACGCCTCTACCATCGCACAGGACCTTTCTCTCACCCTCACTCTGCACACCCTCCTTCAACCTCACTCAAGGCGGTAGTAGAGAGGTTACTCCTCACAACACCCACCATCACATGCAAGCTGACACCGCGCATCACGCCCACACGGACGAAGGAGAGCATCGGCACTCTCCTCCTCGCAGTTTGACGTGCTGTGACTGTAACTCCTCCTGCCAAGTGCATCGTTTTACGGTGGTTGTTGTGTGACATTGCTTCCGTCCACTCCACACCTGCATCACAAGTACCACCACAGCTCCACGCCAACACGAAACTGGAGGTGCAATGCCTCGTCAGTTGCTGTAGTGTCTAGACGGCAAATCAACACCTCATTGAGTTGAGCGTGCGCCACACATCTTCTACTGTCCCACCCTTATCCCTCTCCTCCCTTTCGTGCCTTTCATCTCCGCCCACCTCTCTGCCTCCCTTTCTCCATGCCTCCCTGCCCCCTCCCTGCCTCCCTGCCGCTCTCTCTCTTCCCCACCACTCACTTTGCTGCAGACAGCGTGCACACAACTGCTTGAAGTGGATGAATTCAGCGCAGTCGAATTGACGGAGACAATCACTCGGTAGCGAAATGCAGACAAGAATTTGGCAGAGCACAATCCAAACAATGTCCTTCCCATTCCAAGGTGTGCACGTGGTGGTGGTGGTGGAGGAGGAGGAGGAGGCAGGTGAAAGCGAAGGCCAATTTTCTTCCGATTGCTTCCCTTCCTCCTCCTCCTCCTCCTCACCCACATGTGAACTGTTGTGAATCAGGTTTATCCGATTCTACCGATCAACCTTGCAATCTGCGAGCCTCTTGCACAAGCACAGGCTGATGCACCGTCCCTCAACATCACACCACCACCACCACCGTATGCGTTCATGGCTTTCCACACAGGCAGTACCGACCCGGTGGATGTGTGGATGGATGTGTGCGAGTGGATGTGTCGTACACAGCTCTACCGAACGATCGCACTCCCCGACAATGTTGCGAAACACCCGTTTGGTGATTGCGTCAGTGTACAGCCTCATCCACCCAACCACCCATTCATCGTCCTGTCTCTTGAGGCGGGAAGGCGACACCACATGTAACACTGGGCACTCGATGCAATGGAAGGTGCGTCGTGTCATTGTGTGGGAAAGCACTGCTCTTAGCGTCGACATGGCGACGAGCAACTCGGATCAGGCTGCAGTCTTTGCATTGTGTGCTCACATGCAGGAA